CCTGCCCTGTTGAACCTCCGCCTGATCCTCCAGCCTCAGCAGCATTTGAAAGGCACTCTAAGGAAAAGCCCTGCCCTGTTGAACCTCCGCCTGATCCTCCAGCCTCAGCAGCATTTGAAAGGCACTCTAAGGAAAAGCCCTGCCCTGTTGAACCTCTGCCTGATCCTCCAGCCTCAGCAGCATTTGAAAGGCACTCTAAGGAAAAGCCCTGCCCTGTTGAACCTCTGCCTGATCCTCCAGCCTCAGCAGAGGCAATGGGGAGGACTCTGTCCTGTCAGACTTCTGCCTGACCACCCTCAGCCTCAGCAGCTGAAAGGCACTCTGAGGAAAAGCCCTGCCCTGTTGAACCTCCGCCTGACCATTAACATGGGGAGGGAGGGAGGACTCTCTCCTGTCGGATCTCTGCCTGACCCTCAGCAGTCCCTGAAGGGCCGCGGCGAGGCTGGCTGCCCTGTTGAACATCGCCCCCCCTCACCTCCCAAAGCCCGAGCCGGACCTCCGCCTGCTCGGCCTGCGAAGCGGCCTCTCCGCCGCCGCCTCCTCCTCTTCCTCCTCCTCCCCGGAGGGAAAGGCGAGGAAGCGGGCCGGGCTTGCCTCGCTGCCTCGGCCTCACGTACCTCCGCCGGGCCGCCCCAAAGAGGCCGAGCGCAGCGCCACCTCCTCGCCTCGCCTGCTGGGCCCTGCGGGGCGCTCCGGGGCCGCCTTCCCCTTCGCCTCACCCGGCCGCCCGTCAGTCAGTCAGTCCGTCGGCCTTTCCGAATTCGCTCTGCTGGCTTTCATGCCGGCAAGGAGGATCGGCCTCTCGGGAAAGGAGCCCGGCTCCTCCCTTGCAGGGCGCAGCTGTTGAAGCCGGCACGCCAAAAAGGGACGGTGGTTGACTCCCATGGTGGCTGGGCACGACGCCCGCCGGACGTTATGGGCCTTTTTCTATCATTGATAAAACGCCCTTATAGAAAGAGGAAGGCCCCGCTGGGCATCTGCCTCCAGTTGAGGCCTCCTTCTACTTCTTGACTGCTTACCTGTTTTATATTCACACTTATTCTTCTTTTCTCTCACATGCTTGACATACCTAAATAAATAAATTAAATAGATTGATTAAATAAATAATTTAAATAAATCAAATAAATAAATGAAATAAATTGATTAAATTGATTAAATAAATAACTTAAATAAAATTGATTAAATAAAATAAATAAATAAAATAAAATAAATAACTTAAATAAGTTAAATAAGATAAATAAATTGATTAAATTAATTCAATAAATTGATTAAATTGATTAAATAATAAAATAAAATAAAATTAACTGATTAAATAAATAAAATAAATTGATTAAATAAATAACTTAAATTGATTAAATAAATTAAATAAATGAATTAAATTAAATAAATTAAATAAATGAATTAAATTAAATAAATAAAATAAAATTAAAATAAAATAAATAAATAAAATAAAATAAATAAATTAATTAAATTAAATTAAATTAATTAAATTAAATAAGCTAAATAAATTGATTAAATTGATTAAATAATAAAATAAAATAAAATTAACTGATTAAATAAATAAAATAAATTGATTAAATAAATAACTTAAATTGATTAAATAAATTAAATAAATGAATTAAATTAAATAAATAAAATAAAATTAAAATAAAATAAATAAATAAAATAAAATAAATTAATTAATTAAATTAAATTAAATTAATTAAATTAAATAAGCTAAATAAATTGATTAAATTGATTAAATAAATAAATTACATTAAATTAATAAAATAAATAAATAAATAAATTGATTAAATAAATTGATTAAATTGATTAAATAAATAAATTACATTAAATTAATAAAATAAATAAATAAATAAATTGATTAAATAAATTGATTAAATTGATTAAATAAATAAATTACATTAAATTAATAAAATA